GATGTTGAGTATGTTTTCATGTACCTGTGGGCCATTTAGATGTCTTCTTTGGAAAAATGTCTATTCAGTTTCTCTGTCCATTTTTAAATTGGATTGCTTGTGTTTTGTTATTGTGTTGTATGAGTTCTTTAAATATTTTGGATATTAATGCCTTATCTGATATATGGTTTGCAAATATTTTCTCCCATTCTGTAGATTGTCTTTTCATTTTGTTAGTTGTTTCTTTTGCTGTACAGAAGCTTTTTAGTTTAATGTAGTCCCACTTGTTAATTTTTGCTTTTGTCGCTTGTGCTTTTGGTATTATATCCAAAAATGTCATTGCCAAGACCAGTGTCAAGCAGTTTCTCCCCTATGTTTTCTTCTAGAAATTTTATGGTATCAGGTCTTATGTTTAGGTCTTTAATCCATTTTTAGTTAATTTTTGTGAGTAGTGTAAGCACACTTCCTGATTTCAAACTATACTACAAAGCTATGGTAATTAAAACAGTATGGTACTGGCATAAAAATAGACACATCGGTCAATGGACCAGAATAGAGAGCCCAGAAATAAACTCCCACATATGCGGTCAACTAATATTTGGCAAAGGAGGCAAGAACACTTAATGAGGAAAGGATAGTCTCTTCAACAAATTGTTCTGGGAAAACTGGATAACCACATGCAGAAAAATGAATAAGCTTCCTATGTTACAGAGATCTTAAACACTAGGTTGTGCCTTGCCTTTCTCCAAATCTTCTGAGTCTCCTGACAAGCAATACAGTTGGCTGATTCCAGTTCTCCATTCTTTCTCTTCTCTTAAACATTAACAAACAGAGCCAGTAGATGCTAACATGGGAAAAAGTAAGGACCTGAGTTCCTAGAAAATCTGAACTAACTATATTAAGAATTCTTGACATTTCAGAGACCTCAATCATTATATTACACAGTAACGTTAAGGGTGATTCCATTCCAGCTATAATTCAAAACTTCACGATAATTAATGTGCACAGAACTTTGATAAATTTAGATTGCATTTTGAAATAAAATATGACATGGTCATATCTTTAAATTAGTACTATAATACTATTCAAAATTATTCAAATTTAGAGACTATTTTATTGTCCCTCAAACATTCATTCAACTGGTATTCCATGAGAACACAGAACAGAGGGAGTATTTGAGAAAGTATACCTTATTATTACCTGATATATTTAATATCATAACTGTAAATTTAAATATAAGAACAGTTTGATATTTATTGAATTAGCTCAATGCTCCAATTGAGATTACTGTATCTGAAAATGGTCAAAAGACAATACTAAAAATACAAATAGTAGTAAAACTGGATGAGATGGACCTAGTAGACATATACAGAGCACTTCATCCAAAAACAGCTGACTACACATTCTTCTCAAGCATGCATGGAACATTCTCAAGGATAGACCATATGTTGGGAAACAAGGCTCAATAAATTTAAGAAGATTGAAATCATAACAAGCATTTTTTCAGACCATAATGCTATGAAACTGGAAATCAACCACAAGAAAAAAACTGGGAAAGTGACAAAGATGTGGAGATTAAACAACATGCTACTGAACAACCAATAGATCATTGATGAAATTAAAGGAGAAATAAAAAAAATCTGGAAACAAACGAAAATGAAAATATGCCATACCAACTCATATGAGATGCAGCAACAGCAGTCCTGATAGGGAAATTCATAGCAATACAGGCCCACCTCAACAAACAAGAAAAAGTCCAAATAAGAAACCTTAAATTACACCCAACAGAACTAGAAAAAGAAGAACAAATGAAGCCAAAGTCAGCAGAAGGTGAGAAATAATAAAAATTAGACCAGAAATAAATGAAATTGAGACCAAAACAAAAAACAAAAAACAGTAGAAAGGATTAATGAAACAAAGAATTGGTTCTTTGAGAAGATAAACAAAATTGACAAACCTTTAGCCAGACTTACTAAGAAAAAAAGAGAAAAGGTTCAAATAAATAAAATTAGAAATGAAAGAGGAGAAATTACAAAGGATACCACAGAAATACAAAGGATTATAAGAGACTACTATGAAAAACTATATGCCAACAAATTGAACAATCTAGAAGAAATGGATAAATTCTTAGACTCATATAACCTCCCAAAACTGAACCAAGAAGAAACAGAGAATCTGAATAGACCAATAACAAGTAAAGAGATTGAAATAGTAATCAAAAACCTCCCCCAAAATAAAAGTCTGGACCAGATGGCTTCTCCAGTGAATTTAACCAAACATTCAAAGAAGATCTAACACCCATCCTTCTCAAACTATTCCAAAAAATAGAGGAAGATGGAAGACTTCCTAACTCATTCTACAAGGCCAACATCACCCTGATACCAAAACCAGACAAAAACAATACAAAAAAGAAAAATTACAGGCCAATATCACTGATAAACATAGATCCAAAAATCCTCAACAAAATATTGGCAAACCAAATACAGCAAGACATTAAAAGGATCGTACACCATGATCAAGTGGGATTTATACCAGGGACACAGGGATGGTTCAACATCTGCAAATCAATCAATGTGATACACCATATCAACAAAACAAGGAATAAAAACCACGTGGTCATCTCAATAGATGCAAAGAAAGCATATGATAAGATCCAATATCCATTTATGATAAAAACTCTCAACAAAATGGGTATAGAAGGAAAGTTCCTCAACATAATAAATGCTATTTATGACAAACCCACAGCCAACATCATACTCAACAGGGAAAGTCTGAAAGCCATTCTTCTGAGAACAGGAACGAGACAAGCCTACCCACTCTCGCCACTCTTATTCAACATAGTTCTGGAGGTTTTGGCCAGAGCAATTAGGCAAGAAAAAGGAATAAAAGGAATCCAAATAGGCAACAAAGAAGTGAAACTCTCACTATTTGCAGATGACATGATTTTATATATAGATATAAAGATAATATATATCTATATAGATATATAGATAATCCTAAAGAATCCATTGGAAAACTATTAGAAATAATCAACAATTACAGCAAAGTTGCAGGGTACAAAATCAACCTACAAAAATCAGTTGCATTTCTGTATGCTAATAACGAACTAACAGAAAGAGAGCTCAAAATGATACCATTTACAATTTCATCAAAAAGAATAAAATATCTAGGACTAAATCTTACCAAGGAAGTGAAAGACCTATACAATGAAAACTACAAGACATTATTGAAAGAAATCGATAATGACATAAAGAAACGGAAAGATATCCCATGCACATGGATTGGAAGAATAAACATAGTTAAAATGTCTATATTACCTAAAGCAATCTACAGATTCAATGCAATCTCAATCAGAATCCCAATGACATTCTTCACAGAAATAGAAAAAAGAATACTAAAATTCATATGGGGCAACAAAAGACCCTAAATAGCTAAAGCAATCCTAAGAAAAAAGAACAAAGCTGGACGCATCATAATCCCTGACTTCAAAACATACTACAAAGCAACAGCAATCAGAATTGCATGGTACTGGTACAAAAACAGACGTACAGATCAGTGGAACAGAATTGAATGCCCAGAAATAAAACCACACATATATGGACAGCTAATTTTTGACAAAGGAGCTAAGAACATACAATGGAGAAAGGAAAGCCTCTTCAATAAATGGTGTTGGGAAAACCGGACTGCCACATGCAAAAGAATGAAAGTGGACCATCTGCTATCGCCATTCACAAAAATTAACTCAAAATGGATCAAAGACCTGAAGGTGAGACCTGAAACTATAAAATTCATAGAAGAAAATATAGGCAACA